CTCGCAAACGCCAAATTATCATAAACATCCGCGCAAGGAATGCCTTCTCTGCCCGCTACCTTTGCTCCATAAACTGTGGGTATAGATTTACCATAGATAACTGCTAATGGAGGATAGCGATTTGCATCTGAGATTTCGGGTTTGAAATGAAGTTCTCTTTTGAATTGGAGTGTTTCGGCGAGAGTGCGACGGAGATATTCTATCGCTTTATCGCGGGGAAGAGTGACGAGGGTAGAAACTGAAGGAGAAGGATTGTAGCTTTTGTTTAGGGAGTTACTCATTTGAGGGGCTAGAGTGCGGTCAGTACCATCCACTCCACGAAGTACTTCTGCCGCTCGACTAGTTTTGGATTGATCGATTGAATGGTTACGATTGTCGTTTTCGGTGCGAGAATTAGATCCAAGATATGGCGAAGAGGGCTGAGGAGTATTTGTACCGGAGCCCGAGCCGGAATTTGAACCCGATGAAGGTTTCTTTCCAGTTATCGTTAGACTTGATAAACTGTTTGGTAACTGAAGATTAAGAATACTGCCAATTCCACTGCCAGATTGAGAAATTGGAGGTAATGGTGGATCTGTAACAGGAGACCAACGATACTTAATCCAATCATCTAAATTGAAGAAGTCGACAGGATATTTCTCTCTCGTATGAAGATCGAAGAAGCATTCTCCATTTTCAGGAAGAAGCACAAAACTAGTCCGTAATGTGAAATTTACTTGAGCCGTTAATACTCTTGAGCTCAGTAGGACAGCATCTCCATTTCTGAAGGGACCTAGGATATTCACACATGATTGTGGAACACCAGCATATATAACCCCACTAAACAACTCAGGTTTTTGATTCACAACATGTCGCGTAATTAAACCTCCTAATGAATGTGCAATCACCAAAGCACCAGTGGGTTTTTCTCCATTAGGACCTGGTCGATTAGAAGGTAATTTCTCCAGGAAGGCTTTAAGCTTTCGACTTAACAGATGTGGACTTAACCTCCAATCATAACCATAATCCCACACTCTCAATTTACCATTTTGGGCATTTTCGCAATTTTCAAGTCGCTTGAATAACCGCCTGGATATGTCTACTGGCCCAATATTCTTTAGCATCCCGGATGGGATAATACTTTCTTCCATCCTCTCCTCATCCTCTAGATTCAAACCAACTTCTAAATCCACTTTACGAATATTGAGTCCTACCTTAACAGGTACCCAAAGTTGATGATTTGGTGCTTTAGCGGATCGAAGTATCGAACCTCGATATCCACCCATAATTACAACATCTCCGGTTAAATTTTCCATGGCCTTATCTAAAGCATTGGTAGGTTTCGTTGATGAGCGAGCATTATCTTTACCGAAGGAATCGTATTTCGAGAATGAGGGACTCGGCTCAAGTGGTTTCTTTTTGGTAACAGCTGGTAATATGTCTGAATGTGAATCAGTAATTGACTTTGATCTGTGTGACGTTGTGCTGGAATTCAAAAAGTTCATGCTAAAGCCAAAACTGGGTACGCGGGGCATACTTGGCATACTGGGCAATTGTGGCATTCGAAAGGTTGAACGATCTTGAAAGGAATCTCTGATAGCTTTAACTCGAGAGTTGACTTGTTCGCGGTGATTTTCAAACCGTGAATCATCACCTAGTGATGAGGTTCGAGATAAGCTATGATATAGTAATGAATCATCAGATGTTGCTCTGCGAATAGTTCTTGGACGTTCCGTTGAACTATTATTACCCGCTATAATTTCATTCTGAAGATGTGAATTACTATGACGTTGTGATGGTCGATATTGAGCTGGAAGGTGCTCCTTTACCTGACGATTATTTGTAGATGATGAACCCTCATCTTTTGAACGACTAGGTGAGGTAGAAAAGGGGTGGAACGTGGCGCTTCTTGGGGCGTGAAAAGATGACCGAGACTTATGATTTGAGCTTGTTGATGTACCAAATAAGTTTCCCACCTGAGACATTGAAGGTAACCCTTTTGGTAGAAGTTTTTTGAGTGCATCAGCACCACTAGATAATGAACTCTGACGTTTCCTTCCAGGATGAAATACACTAGCCATGGCTGATGTGCGAGCTTCATTCGGTGGTTCTATAACCACCGTTGGCTTTGGTTCTGGCCGCGATTGAGGAGGTGGAGGTTTCATAGCGGAATCGAGTTTGGGTGAAAGCTTCGGCGATGGTAGTTTTCCCAATGTCGAGTCCTCCCCTTTTGTATTCCTCGAATCCTCATCGAATGGTGGTTTCATTGTCGGTTCCAAAGTTGGAGTCTCGGGGTCGCTATCAAAATAACCTCCTTCCAAATTATCCATGGCAGCAGCCTTCTCTGCAGCAGGTGTTTTTGAAGACTTCAAACGCGAAGCTGCATGACTGAGAGATACACCGATGATGGATTGTGCATCCTCATCTGATATATGAGGGATCATAATGGTTTCCGCTTCGTCCGAGAGGTCATCGCTGAATTCATTTTGATCTGCCGCAATGGTATTTGATGTTGAAGCATTTAATGGATCGTGAACAATTTGAGGGGGGATTTTTGAAGCCATTTTCCGGTTTCGTCTTTGTTCCCGATTATGTCTTAAAGCCGTTTACATCAATTCTTTCTAATCCATCATTATCATTCCATTCGAGATGTATTTATAAAATGTGGTAGGAAAGAAAAGAGGAAAAAGGATGAAGACGTATTCCGCTGTTTCCGGATGCGATAAGCCTTATGAAATTCCAACACGATAACAAACAGCAAAGGTATAGATTCGTTAGTAATTTCCCATTTAAGAAGGTTGACGGTATCGTGAGCTTATGAGTTTCTCATATAGTAACTGTTGAAGTCGAGATTTCGGTATTGCCAGGTATTTTCATGTGCCGTAAACAACAATAAGGGTCCTCCATAGTCCATAATCCATAGTCCGTAGCCTCGAGTCGGTTGTCCATTGTGCCAGCAAAGTTAATTCCTTGCAATTGACGTAATCCAAGTGGCAGTGTATCACGGAAGGTGGAGTGAATGTGCCGTATATCGTATGTCGTATATCGTATGTCGTATATCGTATATATTCGTATATCGAGTATAAAAATTTTCATTAATAATTGATATGGAGTACCTACCTGTGTATGTCTTTTGTGTAAAAGCGATGAATATTTCATTCACATCTTTCATAGAAGATAAAAGATTTATAAGTGTATACCTAGAAGTTAAGAGATAGATAAGATTATTAATAAGAGAAAAGACAAAATCCCATGTGAACCCTTAAAAATGCTGTGTACCGTTGTGACGATATCTGTCAATAATAAGACAGCATTCACCACACTTCATTAACCTTACTCCCTACCGTACTACCGAAAAACAGATGATATGCATAACACACATGAAATAAAATCTTGGCTATCCATTTCATTCCATCCACAATATCATTTTCAAAACTTCATCCCAAGAACAAACGAACGAACGGCAGCCATTTACAACAACAGGAATCACATTTTAAATTTTAATCCCGTATCCGAAAATACCGAGCTTAAAAACAATAACACCTTACAATACCTAATAAAACCTCCCGCGCGTTTCTCTTCTCTTCTCTTCTTTCCGTTCTCCTTTTCCGAAAACCCTTCTTTCTATACAGAGTATTCCGTAGGTGGGTAAGCGGGATATTGTTTTCATCCTCGGAGTATATAAAAATATCAATTGAAGCTCCACTCTATTTTTTATACTCTACCACCAAACCAAAAGCATAATACCATCAGACGAAAACAAATTCCAAAATTCCCAAATCCACACCCAAAAACAAGTCAATCAACACGCCCCCCTCCCTTCCCCCCTGATCATGATTCCCGAACAATTGAATAATTGAATAATACAAATCCCACCGTTTTCAGGGGCAAAGTCAAGATTAGATCAGCGATCAACACAATTTCCGCGCGCCCCGCGAGGGCTGGGGTTGGGCTGGTTTATGCTTGAAACGATGAAACATAGGTAGTGTACCTAGGTACCTAGTAGTCTTGGCGATCCGGGGAAAGTTTGGTTGGAATTCCTCGTATTTTTAATTTATTGAATTGTTCATTTATTTGGGAGAGTGTTTAATTTAATTATGTGTATTCATAAAATGGAGATAAGGAAAGTAAGTAAGTAATCAATCGATCAAGCAGAATTATTTGCAGAATTAAAAAAGGGGCAAAAACGAAAAGGTATTAGATCAAAGAATTTTTAAAATTCTGGCTATTTGATATTTAAATACTTCAAGACAAACAGGAGGAATGGCCTATCCAACTCTGTATCCATAGATTCCAGGTAGAAAAAACCCTGTATTTATCCAGAAATGTATCCCATCCCACGATCCATACATGCCCATGCGTATATATCCAGAATTAAAAAAATTAACAATGACGAGAAGAAAATGCGCGCGAAGAAAAAACTTCTGATCCAAACTGTCGTTGCCGAGACCAGACTCTAAAGAATTAACAAAGTAAACATCAACATCCCTAAGGTATCTATCCCCTTTTCGTAGACCCGAGCCATGATAGCTTTGTTATCGGAGCCCCGAAATTCCATTATAATGTAATAGCGTGAAAATTGTCGACTCGAGGTTACGCAGATGCTTACAAGAAGAAGGCAGCGAAACCGAAAACGGCTGCGACGGCAGCACCTCCAACTTGAACGTTGCTAGCAGCACCGGTGAAGACAGCTGGGGTGGAGGTGGTCGGGGTAGAAACGTTGTGTGGGACGGTGATGTATCCAGTGGAAGATGGCTTGGCTGGGGAACCTGGAGATCCTGGGGAACCTGGAGAGCTTGGGGAGCTTGGGGAGCTTGGGCTACCTGGGACACCTGCAGTGGCGGTCTCAACTCCTCCAGTGACGGTGGAGTAGATGACGGTTGGGATACAGGTGGTGATGGCAATGACGGAGACGGAACCAGCTGGGACGGAAGGAATACCGACGGCAGAGCTGACGGAGGCGGATGGGCTGACGTAGATTGGGGTGAAGGTGTTGACTGGTGTTACGGTGGAAGTACTAAAGTAGGAACTTGGGCAAGATCCTTCGTGAGCTGGGTTGCATCCACCTGGAATACCGGCAATGCTGGTTGGGACGCTGCCAGCTGGGGAGGAAGGAGCACCTGGTGTTACGGTGGAGGTGCTGAAGTAGGAACTTGGGCAAGATCCTTCGTGAGCTGGGTTGCATCCACCTGGAATACCGGCAATGCTGGTTGGGACGCTGCCAGCTGGGGAGGAAGGAACTCCTGAAGATGGAACAGAGCCTCCTGGAACGGTGGAAACTCCTTCAGCGCTGGATGGGGAGGAACCCGCTGGTGCACTTGAGGATGGGACGGATCCTCCTGGAGCGCTTGAAACTGGGGAGCCTCCTCCTGGAGCACTTGAGGCTGGGGAGCCTCCTCCTGGAGCGCTTGAAGCTGGGGAGCCTCCTCCTGGAGCACTTGAAGCTGGAGAGCCTCCTCCTGGAACACTGGAGGCTGCTGGAGCACTGTTGGATGGCTGGCTACCTGGGGTGACGGAGGAACCGGAAGCATCAGTGGTAGATGGCTTTGGGTAGACAGTGGTGGAAACCTGGGTGCTACGAGCTGGGCAGTTGGTGACGGTGGCAGCGCAGGAGGTGATGGTGACTTCCTCAGTGACCTAGTACACATTAGCCCCATGAACTCACACCTTTGGAATCATGTATGGTCCAACTTACGTAGTCAGTGGAGGTGGCAGCCATAGCGGCACCAGCGAACATGGAAACGGCGATAACGGAGAAACGCATTTTGAATATTATTTTGAAATTTTTGGGCTTGGGTTAAAGGTGCTGAAAGAGCGGTAGTAGAAGGATTTACTGAGGTTTTAAATCTGCAAAGTTGGTTCTGTAAAGAATGGACGACCTAGGTCAAAAGAAAGATATGTACGAAATCTGAAGATTTGACTTTTGTTTGGATGAAGAGAAGAGTGAATGTCGGAGGGGAGGGGCAAGTCAACCCCATATAAGCTTGGGAGATTACACCAAGATGGGAGATGGGGCGTGATGGACAGGGAAGGACAGGGAAGAGCTTCTTTTTCAGCGGTCCCATGTGGAGAAGGCTTTTTTTACACTTTCACTTTCACTTTCGCTTTTCGCACCACTAAAAGGGGTTCGTTGATTGGAAGGGGCCGAGAGAAGAATAGCAATAATACTCTCCCAATTTCGACCTTGGACTGTGACAGGGGAACATCCTTCAAACCGGTAGTCATGCATGCGAACCTTGGCTAATAAAGCGAGTAGGGTGTAGCCATTTGGTGACCAGTGTACACCGACTGACAAGAGTGTAGATACAGGGTAAAGATCCAATTGACATCCATCCACTTTGAGCCGTTGATTAACAGGAGAAGTGTTTCTTTTCCCATTTCTCAAGTTGAGTTTCTAGATTCAATTCATACACCTAACCTATGAAAATTGGTATCACTAGAGGAGACTGAATAGTTCATCCGTACCTTGCGGATTGGATGTTTCACGACTTGGGTTTTCATGTCCACCGAAGGAAGGCCGGGCCATAGAGAATGCATGGTGGGAACTTTGAAGTCTTGGAGGCTTTGTACCTGCGTGAGGAATGGATGATATGCTTGTTTGAAAGTTTAATGTACCAGGATTGGCCATGAATTGTTGAATTGATGATGAATTGATGGTTTGATGAATTCATTATTTTATTACCTACGTATTCAACAAGTGAGAACCCCTATAATTGACTGGTGCATAATTCTGAATTGGTTTGTTTGACTACCTAGGTAGATATTATGTAAGAATCTTAGGAGTAACAATTATCCATCCAAAACTCCTTGTGAGAATTTAGAAGTGTGATCTTGAGGCGGAGCATCTTCTTCTATTCCGTGAATGACTTATAGCTTTGCTTTCTATTGTTTTCTCATTTTAGGAATATTAGGATTCTACTCTCCTACATCTTCATCCTAATGCTTACTAGGTATTCAAAGGAACATTTAACGGCTCAAAGCTTCTATTTCTAGACCATTGATCATTTCATTATCTGGAGTAGTGGCTGTTCTATTATGGCTGATGCTGTTTACAGAGTACTAGGTAGGTTGATTGTTTCAGAAAGGGTAGGTAATGAATGAACATTTGGTAAGTCTTACAATCAATCAATCGATCAATCAATCGATCAATCAATCAATCCATCCATCAATCAATCAAATCCATCAATCCAATAATCATGAAATTCTCCGTACTCTCTTCACTCTATCGAATTAAACGCTCAATATTCTATCCCTCCTTCCCACTCGAGCCAGTCATGATTCAAATCCCAATTAAAAAATAAAAAAAGAGTTGATCATGCTCCGTAAACCGTGCCTCGCCTGTTTTTTATTTAAGCATCTTTTTTGAACCTAGAAGAAAATCGTCCGTCGTCTCAATAATTTCCAAATATATTCAAAATTCAATGCTTAATCCTCATCGGGATGAAAAGGACTCCAAATATTTGGTAGATCATAATTTCCAATCGGCCAAAAACAATTCATGATTCACGCACTTTTCCTGAGATTTGGTCACCGTTTTTTATTGGGAAGTTTCTATTTTGGTTTGAATCCGCAAAATGATGCCATTTGATTAACCTACTTACCCTACTTACCTTACTCCGTAAATTTACTCTGCTTGGTACACCAGTCACTCGTAAGGATATCTTTAAGATTTGTCTTGTAAATTGCTGAATTTACAATACGAGCTTTCATCGTGGTCAAGTTGGCAATTTCACCCACGGAGTAAAATCACATTGCCGTATTCACTTTATTCATTAAACGGTTCTCCCGAATTCATATCTTACTCCATATTTCCTACCATCAAAAATGGAGGCCCGTTTTATTTTACTATCGATTTTCGAAGACATGTATGGATGCTATCTCTGGCTTTGACTGGCTGGACTGCCTCGAATGGCTCGACGGCCTTCACTGGCTCGACTAACTTGATACACCGGCGTCTCCTGTGCGGATATTTTCCTCCACAATAGCGCCCACCTTATCGATAAATGCCAAGATATCGAGGATTTGCCGTTAGTAAATATCCGTGAAAAAGGGGCATGATGAAGAATTGAAGAAGTAAAGAAGTAAAGAACTTGTCTTGTCATACGTACTTCGTACTTTGAAAACTCAAAAATATGGAAAGAGTTCATGCAATTGTGCAGGTTCATCCTCATTATCTTCGATTTATCAATATTGATTTCTTTTATCTCTAGGATTTCCTCATCGTATACTCATTGTATATAACCAACCATTCACATTCATCTCCAAGAGATGTAGAATGTTACAATTCTGCAATTCTACAATTCTGTATATTGATCGATGGAACTTACTCAATATTACTACTCGAGTATACTGAATATTTACAACACCAATTCACACTCAATACAATTTATTTAAACACTAACATGCAAAGCATCTATCTACACGGATTTAAAAATCGTCAGCTAATCTTTCGTTAATCATTACCACCTATGATTTTAACGGACAGTACAGTACATTCATCCCATCCATCTAATTGTTAAGAATCCAACAGATCCGACCTACGCATACTCAAATCAATCATGTTACACACACTCAGTATATCTCGCGAAATCAAGACGAAATATCCATTCACATACAAATTTCATACCATACCAATCCATCTCTATACCTACCAAATCTATTCTTAATCCACAGCAGCAAAATTTCTACTACTCAACTAATGCCCATCCCATCCCATCACCGCCAACCCTCCCCTGCCTCACAACAACAACAACAACACTCACCCACCAACAGCAAGCCAAACCAATCCCAACCCCAACCCGCAAAGCACAAACAAGAATATATAAATTCCAACAACCTCAATTCTACCACATACGACCATAGACTGAAGAGAATTGGGCATCCCGTCCGCTCTGCCATACACAAGCTTCAGATCGGTGGATTAGTAGTTGGGTGGGTGACCACCAGCGAATCCCTACTGTTGTATGTTTTCTACTTTTTTTTTTTTTTTTTTTTTTGATATTGTGATGTTGTGTCTCCTTTTGCTGTGTGGTGTTGTGTTTATATAGATAGGTAGGTAGATATGTTGAGATGAGATGGAAGCTTGTTATTCGATTGGATTCGATACAAAGGATTGAAGATAGAGAGGGGAAGGAAGGGATTGATGCCATATATATTGTTGCGAGAACATGTCTGTCTATCATATACCAAGATTACCATATCCGAGTTGAATAGTTTCTACCGGGTTTCCCGATATAGATTTTTGTGGTTCATAGTTTTCATGTATAGCTGAATATCATATTCAAATGAATGAACACCTGCCGTTTTTTGGGGTTCAACTTAAGAGACAGCTGTGATTCTACATCGAATACATCTGTCTATCTATCTATGCTGTACTGCGGTTAATATACTTTTCTCACAAATACAAAGCTATACTACGAAAATGGGCATTATAATAAGATCATACATCCTATGATTAAGTCCGGATGGATGGAATTAATAGTGTACTATCGGGGGATTTTTTTTTTCTCTTGATATTTTATTTAATCAATTAATCATCCATCCAAACAGTTCCTACTCCAATAAACACCAGAAACATAACAATCCAAAGACAAAAGAGAGCACTTTATAATTATTCATCAAACTTATCCTCCTCCTCCTCCTCATTCTTATTCTCATCCCCTTCCTATTCAATCTCAATCCCCAATCCAATCCCACCACATTCCCAATCAAACTCAAACACAAACCACTCCCCTTTCAATTTCCAACTTTCAACTTCAAGCTTTCAACCCTGTAATTACAATCCATCAAGCAGTCTCCTCCTCCCAGTTAAGAATACCACTTTACATCTTTCTTTCTCTATTATCATCCTTCTACAAATTCTTTATAGATTCATATACGAGTAAACATCAAGAGGATAAATATAAAAGTTAATTATTAAATAAAATCAAAAAATCTAGTCTATTAATAACATGTTACGAGGTTTGCCGTCTAGATCACGTGGAAGTGCTCTAGGCTCTCGAGGTGGTTTATAACTAGGCGTCAAGCAGGGACTTAAAGTAATGACAATAATGCAATTCGTAACTAATAGTAGAGTATACTAAATGATTGATCTTGAGCACGAAGCTCTATACAAAAGAAATCCATCTTGATTATATAGTCCTTCATGCTTCTATGATCACTAGTGATCACCTATATCGTTATCCTTAGTGATCACTACTGATCATTTGTGATCACGTGTCTTGGTAGTTGTGTAGCCTGTCGTAACATAACAACAAGTATTTTCTTTTTCTCTTTTATGCCTTTTATTTCTTTATTATATTATTATATTATAAATAAATATTTGAGTTTGAATTTATTTGAGAATAATAAAAGAATTGAAATTATTCTTGCTAATAATAGTAGGTAGGTAATTACATAACCGGATTGGATGTCTAGTGGATTTTCTTCATGAATTCATACTCCAAAGAGATTTTACTCCAAAGAGACTAATATTACAAGGCAAGTCATAGATTCATAGAGTTCTGTCACGATTCACCATTAGGATTGATGGTGTTACGATGGTAGCAAACTGATTAATTAGGAGAGCTTAGGCCTTGTGCAAACACGATCAGATTTCATCGAATTAGTATGTGATCTTGGTCACCTGAAGATCGTGTATGCACGCACCATTAGAAATCACGTGATAAGGAGCCCTCAAAGCTCCTAGAGCTCCAGGAGCCCTGAGGAGCCAGAAAGCTCCTGGGGGCTCCCTTCTTCGTTCATTATATAATCAGAGTAGTTTCATAGTTTAGGAGCTTCGTGCTCAATTTAGTTATCAATTAGTTTATCTACATTCTATTTGATCTAGTAACGAATTCACTTTCAAGTGAATACCAGTGATAAAGCCTTAACCTATAACTACCAACCGACGAACCTTAGGCAGCCGCTGCCTTTAGTACAGTATCGTTACAAGTTCCAAGCTTGTGAAGAGAATATTTCAATAAAACAATAGAATAAAATGAAAGAGAGTACTATAATTAGAATTTAGATCAGATCAAATAAAGTAACAATCAGAGAGAGGAGAGGAGCACTAGGAAATTAATATCCAAAAGTACCTACCTAGGTAAATCTTAATTACATTGTAATTAATCGCCACCAACTCTACTGCTGGTCCAATTAATTAGCAATTAGATATCTAAGTATTCACCTATCTATCCAACTATTTATTCTTATTTTGATTTCATTTTTGCATATTAAGTATTCAGATTTGAGATTATTGATAAGATCTCACATAGCGACTTAGACAACGACATAGAGATATTTTCACTTTACGAATTCATAAGATGGGAAAAAACATATTAAGAACTCTTTTTTTAATTAATGGATTTTTATTGTAAGATAGGAAAAACATAGAAACATGACCCTTTTGTTTATTTCCAATTCATGGATTCATAAGATAGGAAAAAAACATAGAGAAATTTTTTTTTGATTATATTTTAAATTGATAGATTTGTAAAATAGGAAAAACATCCTAAGAAACGTGACCCTCTTGTATATTTCTAATTCATGGATTTATAAAATAAGAAAAAACATGTTAAACTTATTTTTTTTTTTCAATTTCATAGATTCATAATATAGGAAAGACATATTGAGAAATATTTTCTATAATTATGATATATTAAGAAATATAACCAAGGAAAAAGTGATTACCAGAGTCCAGCTCTGATAATCTTCAGATGTGATGTAAAGAAACAACATTTACCGATCCTTCTCCTTATGAAATGAGATATGATATCCACTTACCTCCTCTGTGTGAGTTTAATGTGAATGAATGACTTACCTCGATCTTTCTCGGTCCTCGCCCCTTCACTACTTCACTCATTTGCTTCATCGGCTGAGTCTCTTTGCTGGTCTCTTGGCTGGTGCCCATTCCGAAACGTCGCTGTCGTCGGAAGAATCATCATCGCTGTTGCTGCCTTCGTTCTCAATGACTTTCCTGGATCTCTTCCTCATAACACGAGTTCTCTTGGCTGGGTTGCTTTGTGTGCTCGATGATTGTGTTTGTCCTCGGGTGTCAACAACGATGGTGTCACCGTCTACATCCAAGATATTTTCATCAATGCTGAACTCTACTTGATCGTCCTGATCCATCTCAGCTGCCTTTCTCTTGTTGCTCTTTGCGTTTGACGGACTTCTGGCATCCGATGCCTTTTTTCCAGTTTTCAAACGTGCTTGTTTTTGAATGCTTCTGCCAGCGACGTACATGTTAAGATTGTTCATGTGTTTGTCCAAGGAGTTTGAATTGGGGCGTTTGTCGCGGACACTTTGTCGGTTAGCGGGTTCGAGCTCCAAGTGCTTGACAGTCAACTTATAGCAAAGGGTGTTCTCGTAAGAATAGTCGTTAGCAAGATTAACGTAATTTGGGTTGGCGTACTCTTTCTCTGCGCTGCGGATGAAATTCCGGACGACCCTTTTCATCTCGACGTGATCTCTTGTGATCGCCATCTTGTTTCGTCCCTCGGCGAGGACACGATCATCAGGCCGAACATTGAAATTGGCGCAGATGTAGCGAAAGTCAAGAAACTTCTCTAGACAGTAGAGATGAACATGGCCGGCATTGTGGAAAGGGTCAGTGATAAGCGGATCGGACGATTGCTCATCGAAGGCGACACGGTATTGGCCTTTGAGGATGGTGCCCTTGCGGGCTGGGCAGTCTTCAAAACGGCATTTGTCGGAGTTTGGGTGTGCGTAGCGTGCGGCAGAGTCGGATGGGACGCTTTGAATCCAGAGTGTGAGTCCAGAGGCTTTGGTGTGTCTCTGTCCTCCCATGTTGTGACCTGGATGGTTGAAGATGAACTCTTTGATCTGGCTGACGGTATACTTGGCGTACGGGTTCAATTCTCCGTCTGTGGTGTACCGGAAAGGAACGACACCGGCACGATTTGGATTTCCCCAGTTTTGAGGTTGTTGTGCAAGGGGAGTGTAGTACGAGGATGGATTAAGCGACTGGATGTTCTTGCTGCGCTTGTTCTTACCTTGTGTTGCCATATTAGGTTTAATCCAACTCTTTCCAGGTACCTTAGTAGGCCTGACATTGACTTCTGGTTCCTTTGGTTCTGGTGATTGTGTTCGCTCAAATTCTTCTTCTGTGTCCGACATTGCCAAGTCCTCTGGATCCCAGCCTGGTCCAACATTGTCGATGCCATCGATGACGAATTGATTGATCTCGTCGTCAACCTCTCTGTGTCGTTTCAACCCTTGTTGAAGTGCCTCCATAACGCTTCGGGGCAAGTTTCCAAAGGAATCGATGATGTGCAATGGATAGCCTGGGCTAGGGAAAGCATTCAAGATGGCGTGCCGGTAACCGTTGCCGAACTCGAAATGAGCAGGGAATTTTTTGACTTGTTGCATGCTTGGAACCGGAAAACTGGCTGGCTGAAATGGGTTGATGTTGCCAGTGAAACCGTTGTTCAAGAAGTTGGGGTTGACTGTTGCGTTATCAGTAATGAGAGGAACGGGTAACTCAACTTGGGTGTTGTTTCCTTGCGAAATGCCAGCCATCCCTTGAGGGGCTGGCGTGTCAATCATCTCCACATCCGTGTCGTTGAGGAAGTCTCCAAAGTCGAAGGTTGAAGGATCAGGAAGATTTCCAAGGCCTTCGACTGGGAAAACAGGAGAGCGGAGGTCAATTTGATCCAATGTTTGAAATTGGTCAAGCATGAATTGATCAAAGTTGAATTCAGACATGTTGTTTAATTTAGCAGCTCAGCTGTACTAAATTGGATGGACGTTTTACTACTTGGATTGAATGTAGTAAATGAAAAATGAAAAATGACGGTCTATGTAATCGTAATAGCAATGCTAGTGGATTGAATCTTGAGATTGGAAGATTGTGAGTAAGACAAGAAAGGTAGAGATAATAGGGATTGTTAGCAAATCTATATACCTTAATTCATGCTTTGTTTTCTAGTTAATTGTTTATTTCTTTGTATGTGTACGCACAAAGGACCTTTTAACAGATCAACTACCCGACCAAGCAGTGCACATTATTCCTCCTATTCACCAAAAAATAACAATTGAATTGAGGAAGTCAACAAAGGTAGTCGTTGTCCTCTTTGTACCTTAAGACACTAACAATAGATGATCTCCTCCAATTTCCAGCAGTATTGACAAAAGACGATGATCTGTATCCCAATGATGCCCCTTGCCCCGCAACCTATCTGGTGTAACATAGTAAAACTGATTTTTAACACTGAGATAGAATCAATAATCTTGAATTCAGCCCACGTTGGCTAAACCGGCTGAACATTCCACTGGAATCAGAAGCATGTGCCCGCCAAATAACACTTTTACTATCTGGAGTAGAAGGAACATTTGATAATCCTTGATGAAGAATTATGGTTGTCTGGTGTACAGAACTGTTATGGGAAATTCTCTAATTGAGAGAACTTTTAAGAATTAGCTGGAATTCTTGCAATGCTTGAAGTAATTAAAAGTGAGGCATGAACAACAATATCAGAAGGTCTCCAAGATAATCAACAACCAGCACGAAGCTGTTCAGAACAGGTCTGTGTATCTTGTTTGTAACATCATGTTGTTGCACCCAAGTAGGGAATAGACAAAGAGAAACAAAGGTTTGATAAAAATAGGACATACCAATGATAAAGAAGCTGCGAGCATGAAAGAATAAGTCATGAAAATAGCCCTGTAGCAAAATAGATTGAACCATCACAATTCGAAGTTAGGTATACAAGCGCTCCAATTCAAGATCGAGCAAGGTCTTTCTTGTGTATACCAGTAGGTAAATTAGGAAGCAGCTATACGCAAAGGTGATGCAGAAATTCCCTGCCCATTGATAGGATAGAGTGAATTAATTTCGAACATGGTAACAATCAAGGAATCAAATAATTTATCTAGACATGGAATGGATTGAATGATTGAGATAATTTGAAATATTGAACAGTATAAATTGAAGATTGTTGAAGATGGATGTTGATGTTGATGAAGGTGGAAAGAGAGGTTGAGGTTTTCGAGCCGTTAAAAAATTTATATGAAGAAAAAACTCTCAAACGTTTATGGTCCGTGCAGCATTAGCTTGATAACTCCTTCAATCACATGATGATAAAAACTAACGAAACTTGATTGGTTCATTCTGACAAGTAAAATTTTGGTGGATCAGTTTGGTGGGACATTTTGGTGGGACATTTTGGTGGTACAAATGTCTCTGGTTGGCTTCAGCAAAAAAGAGACCTCGGGAATGCCGTGTTATTAGCATTTCTTTGTTTTGGAAACATCTCGACTAGGCACATTCTTCGACAGTACATCTACAGAGTACATCTACATGTACAGAGCACATGTACGTCGTACATCAAATCTAATTGGTTATCGATAGTAGTTTTGTTGCTTCTAAACCAAAATCAAAAATGCACTCACTCCACACTCTCTTCTAAAAATATTCCCAACTTCACTTCATACAATACTCTTCTGTTGAATATTAATGAACTGCTGAACTTGACTTGGCTGGCAACCTGATCGGCTATTCGTTACTCCGTATTTTCGTCCGATACCCCATCATACGAATGCAAACGTCGGCAGGCCGATCTACCCAAATTAGAATAGAAATACAGGGCATGACGAATGTTGAACATCTAATAAATCCCCCATTCAATATGCTTCTGCTGGAGAAGTAATACTGATTTCGATTTCGAGTAACCAACCATCGTTTGCCTTTTGCATATTCCACCTACTTTCCATCCTTCTTTTGCTCAAGCTTCCAGCTTCCGGCTTCATGTTTTTACCCACTTACCATACTTTAATCGCCCCTTGAAAACATTAATTTGCACTTCCTTGAGAAAGTGTGCCCTCGTTTGCTCATATTCCCTCATATCGAGTCGCACCGAACATGGAGGAGAATAATCCGGAGTTGCAGGCAAAGCTGCAGGAATTAGAACATGAGCTGGAGGTTAGTTATGGCGTTCCCAATGACGGGGGATTTGTTTTAGCTGCGTCGTGTGTGCTCTTGTGCCAAATGCATGCAGGGTGACATTGTCTGGGATAGATTAGATGCTTTCCAGTGCCAGATTGCTGATACAACTTTTGCTTTAGGAAGGGGATATTACGGAGAAGGGGTACGTTTGCTCAATGCTATGCTAAAAGCATTCAACATCTCATATGATATATCAGTCCTGATTCCTCGAACACAGATATCAAAAGCGACGCACATTCTTACTTTCACAATACCTGGGCGCCGCACCGATTGCCGCAGAGCTGACAGGGTTGCGCATACATGCTCCTGATGACAGCATACACCCCTCGAATGATGGTTCGCGCTCTGCATCTCTTGCAACCCTCAATTCGAACTCCAGGGCTGCAAGCGGGAGTTACCTATCGCAAAACTACGGCGCATCTCAAATTCCTGGTCGAACCGCTACAATGGCTAGTGATACAGAAAGTTTCGGAGCCAACAGAGCACAAGACGGGCGAACATTTTCATATGCCGGCAGACCTCAGGATTTAAGGCTGGCGGTACATAATCCCACCACCCAGCGTCATAGCTCTTATAGTCAGGCTTCATCATATCAACCTGGCTCCCCAGGAACCGGAGACTATCAGCAAGATCGTCCAAATGAGCCAAGTATGAGACTGGGGTCGATGGCTTCTAGCACAAATTATGCTTTCAATCCGGCACATCAAAGTGGCTATATGGAACATCAGGGGGACGTCTACGATCAGAACCATGCAGAAATGATGATGGACTCCCACGGTACCATGCTTGGGGAGTCGCAGCAAGGATATTTTTCAGACTTTGCCGGACAACAAGGGTATGAGAATAATGGACCAAATTCATACGGTGGTGGGCCACATCGATATTCTTCCAGTGACGCATTCTCTCCAACAGCGGCAATGGCGCCGCCAATGCTGACCACCAGCGACTTACCTCCTCCCGCCGCCCTGGAGTACCAAATGCCCCTGGAGCCTCGAGATGTCCCATTCGCCGTCTACGATCCACATGATAAAAATACCCCCATGTCTAAATTTGATAATATTGCGGCTGTTTTGAGACACCGGGGTAGTGCAAGAGCGAAGATGCCAGCATACTGGGTATTAGACAATAAAGGAAAGGAAATTGCTTCTATTACTTGGGAGAAACTTACTAGTCGAGCTGAAAAGGTTGCGCAAGTAATTAGAGATAAAAGTTCTCTCTATAGAGGTGATCGAGTGGCGTTGATATATCGCGAATCCGAAGTCATCGAATTTGCCATCGCTTTACTTGGATGTTTCATTGCTGGAGTGGTGGCAGTTCCTATTAATGATCTCGACGATTATGCAAAACTTAATACGATTTTGACCTCTACACAAGCACATCTTGCACTTACCACCGACAACAATTTGAAAACATTCCAGCGAGATATCACAAGCCAGAAGCTAAATTGGCCAAGAGGAGTAGAATGGTGGAAGACAAATGAGTTTGGTAGTTGGCATCCAAAGAAAAAGGATGATGTACCACCTTTGACTGTACCAGATTTAGCTTATATTGAATTTTCACGAGCTCCTACAGGCGATCTCCGTGGTGTAGTAATGAGTCACCGAACAATCATGCATCAAATGGCATGTCTCAGTGCTATCATATCTACAGTACCGTCTGGTGGACGTGGTGATACTTTCAATCCCGAGCTAAGAGATAAAAGCGGAAGATTGATGACTGGCGGTAGCAGTCGTGGCGAGATCTTGCTCTCTTATTTAGACCCACGGCAAGGAATTGGTATGATACTGGGAGTCCTATTGACAGTATATGGTGGGCACACAACTGTCTGGCTTGAAAGTAAGGCTGTTGAAACACCTGGTCTCTATGCTCACCTTATCACAAAGTACAGAGCCACCCTCATGGTGGCAGATTACCCGGGCTTGAAAAGGGCAGCTTATAACTACCAGCAAGATCCAATGACTACGCGAAATTTCAAAAAGGGAATGGAGCCAAACTTTCAAAATGTTAGATTGTGCCTGATAGATACACTGACAGTCGATAGCGAGTTCCACGAGGTTCTAGCAGATCGATGGTTACGGCCCATGCGAAATCCTCGTGCGCGGGAATTGGTTGCCCCTATGTTATGTTTACCAGAACATGGTGGTATGGTGATTAGTATGCGAGATTGGTTGGGTGGTGAGGAACGTATGGGATGTCCCTTGAAACTGGACATTGGATCAGATGGCAATTCTATCGAGGAGAAGTCCGAAGAAAAGGAGAAGTCGTCTGGTAATGGGTTTGGAAGTCTCATAGGAGGCGGAACAGTAGCTCCAGCTGAACAGAAAGGAAGAACAGAACTAAGTGAAGTTCTCCTGGATCGAGAAGCGCTCAAAACTAATGAAGTTGTTGTGGTCGCTATCGGCGAGGAAGCGCGTAAGAAAGCCAGTAGCGAACCAGGAACGGTGCGTTGTGGTGCTTTTGGTTTTCCAATACCTGACGCTACTTTAGCGGTAGTGGATCCAGAAACTGGTCTTCTAGCGTCCCCACATTCTGTAGGTGAAATCTGGGTAGACTCCCCATCTCTATCAGGGGGTTTCTGGGCCTTGCCGAAACATACAGAGCAAATTTTCCATGCTCGACCATATAAATTTGAGCAAGGAGACCCGACTCCAATGATGGTGGAGCCAGAGTTCCTTCGTACAGGTCTTCTCGGAACAGTGATCGAGGGCAAGATTTTCGTCCTTGGCCTATATGAAGATCGTCTCCGCCAAAAGGTTGAATGGGTTGAGCATGGCCACGAAGTCGCAGAACATCGATACTTCTTTGTACAACACATAATAGTGAGTATCATGAAGAACGTACCCAAGATTTACGACTGCTCCGCATTTGATGTCTTTGTCAATGATGAGCATCTCCCGATCGTTCTGTTGGAATCACCTTCCGCATCAACAGCACCTGCTGCCTCTGGTGGACCTCCACGCCAACTGGATACTGCGCTTCTAGATTCCCTGTCAGAGCGATGTATGGAAGTATTGATGCAAGAACATCATCTAAGGGTCTATTGTGTGATGATTACAGCACCAAATACTCTCCCGAAAGTCCTAAAATGTGGCCGAAGAGAGATTGGTAATATGCTTTGCCGTCGCGAGTTTGATCTTGGAAATCTTCCTTGTGTTCATGTAAAATTCGGTGTCGAACGAGCTGTCCTTAACTTGCCTATTGGTGTGGATCCTATCGGTGGCATATGGTCACCGCTTGCCGCTCAAGCTCGTGAAGATATATTATCCCCTGGCGACAAGCAATACTCCGGAATCGATCGTCGCGAAGTAGTAATTGATGATCGAACTTCCACACCTCTAAATAACTTCCTAAGCATAGTTGACTTATTACAATGGCGCGTGGCACGACAGGCTGACGAACTATCCTACTGCACTATAGACGGCCGAGGTAAAGAAGGAAAGGGAATCACCTGGAAGAAATTCGACACGAAGGTTGCTGCTGTGGCTATGTATCTCAAGAATAAGGTCAAGATAAGGCATGGCGACCATCTGATTCTCATGTATACGCATTCCGAAGATTTTGTATATGCAACGCACGCATGTTTTTGCTTAGGAGCAACAGCTATACCCATGGCTCCTCTTGATCAAAATCGCCTGAACGAAGATTCACCCGCATTCCTACATATGGTTTCCGATTACCATGTGAAGGCTGTTTTGGTTAATCAGGACGTCGACAACCTAATGAAACAAAAAACAGTCTCACAACACCTTAAACAATCGGCACAGATTCTGAAGGTACAGGTGCCGAGCATATATAATACTTCGAAGCCACCTAAGCAAAACAACGGTTGCAGAGATCTTGGCCTTACGATGCTACCAAACTGGGTTCAGCCAGGATACCCTGCTCTTGTTTGGACATATTGGACCCCTGATCAACGTAGGATCGCTGTGCAACTAGGCCATGATACCATCATGGGTATGTGCAAGGTGCAGAAAGAGACTTGTCAAATGACAAGCTCGAGGCCTGTTCTAGGTTGCGTGAGAAGTACCACTGGTCTAGGTTTCATCCACAGTGTTCTTATGGGTATATTCGTTGGGGCCCCAACTTACCTGGTTTCTCCCGTTGAATTCGCACAAAATCCAGTATCACTTTTCTTAACTTTATCGAGGTACAAGATTAAGGATACCTATGCCACACCTCAAATGCTTGATCATGCAATGGCCGTCATGCCAGGCAAAGGTTTCACTCTTCACGAGTTGAAAAACCTGATGATTTCAGCCGAAGGAAGACCTAGAGTTGATGTTTTCCAAAAAGTACGTCTTCATTTTGCTGCGACTGGTCTTGATCGTACTGCTATAAATACGGTATATTCGCACGTTTTGAACCCAATGATCGCATCTCGCTCATATATGTGTATTGAACCAATTGAGCTGTGGCTAGATACTCAAGCTTTACGTCGGGGTATGGTATATCCTGTCGATCCAGAATCAAACCCGAAAGCACTCATGGTTCAAGATTCTGGCATGGTTCCTGTGTCAACTCAAATAGCTATCGTTAATCCAGAAAGCCGTTGTCTTTGCCACGAAGGTGAATATGGTGAAATTTGGGTCGAGTCAGAGGCATGCGTCAGAGCATTCTATGGATCGAAAGATGCTTTCGATTTCGAAAGATTTGATGGGCGTACTGTTGATGGTGATCCAAATGTACAATACGTCCGGACAGGAGACTTAGGTTTTCTACATACCGTCAGCCGACCTATAGGGCCAGGTGGTGCGCTAGTCGAGATGCAAGTACTGTTTGTTCTAGGAAGTGTTGGGGAGACATTCGAAATAAACGGCCTTAGTCATTTCCCGATGGATATTGAAAGTTCAATAGAGAAATGTCATCGTAACATTGTCCCTGGAGGATCGTAGGTTTTTCCCTTTTGATTTCTTGGAGCCATTGAAGCTAATAATATTTAGTGCCGTATTTCAAGCCGGCGGACTTATCGTTGTATTGGTGGAAGTAGGAAGGAAATCATACCTTGCTTCCATTGTACCAGTTATAGTGAACGCCATTCTAAACGAACATCAAATCGTCGTTGACATCGTTGCTTTTGTTAATAAGGGTGATTTTCCCAGATCCCGACTTGGGGAAAAGCAACGGGGCAAAATTCTAGCTACTTGGGTCACACGCAAAATGCGTACAATGGCACAATTTGGTATCCGAGACGCCGAAGGGGGTCTCTCGGACGTCACAGAGACCATGGAGCCACGCAGTGGCATCCCTAGTGTTCGTAATGGTAGCGTCATCGCGAGCAGCCTCCGCAATGTTGAGCCTGCTCCTCAAATAGTTGAGGAACAGGAACGCGAGCGTCAGCGTGCGGTGTCACAACATAGTTTCACACCCATCCCGGCTGGCATATCTGAAATGCCAGCAGATAATTATGATGCACCTTCAATGCGATCATTGAATGAAGCAAATTTCAGCATGAGACACAATGATGACACACCTACAAATTCACAACATGATCATTTCGAACCAGGCAGCAATTTCTATGGTGGACAAATCAATTTCGATAATCCATATTCTGATTTTGTAGTCCCAGGATTTGGTCCAAATCCAGGTGAAACCCCGACGACGGGGCCGACACCCGGAATGGACATGGATATGGGTCCTCGGCATGGCAACGTCGATGCAGGTGATCAGTGGAGTTTATCGGGTCAGCAGCAGCAACAGCAAGAGGGACCTAGGATCGGCGGAGGGCTGAGAGTTCATAATATGGATGATGATGACGATTGGAAGGAAACTCTGATGCACTATAATCGAGC